AATCACCAGAGGAAGAATTGCTCAGTATATTATAGAACTTTCAGTTTTGTTCTATATTGTCCCCCACAATTAACAACATTACGTGCCCTGTCCATAAGGCTAGGCGGCAATGGTTTGACTTCGCAAACTATCACCAGAATCAGGGATCAGGTCAGTACTTTAGTCCTGCCCTATCTTGACGGGCAAACCATCCACGTAGCTATCTCTTTGCGTCCCCCTTGCTCACTTTCCAGCTTCGTCTTATAACATGCATAATTGCCCGGCTCTCTAGCGAAGTTGGTTAAACCTGACTTTCACGGTGGCCGGGTGACGAACTCCTTGTGGTCCGGGTTCACTCCCGGGGGTAGGCAGAAAAGCCACAATTCTCCCAGATTAACGGTACCTATAATGGAATCAATGCCGAAGGGTTGCGATATCCATAGTACCGAGCCAAAGGGTTTAAAACTCATGGTTTCTGGATACGTTAAAAAAAAAAATAACATGCATAAACAATCTTCCCTGTCTGCGTCTACTGTATCAAATCACTTTAATTACAGTCGTTAGTCTCGAGGAGGAATGTCTCCTGATATGTCTGCTGCTCATCATCCTCACCAAGTGCCTTACAGAATGACATGGGCGAGCATGCCTCTCCACAATCTGCGATCGGCAACTGTATGTATCAGTCTGTGTGCTTGCAACAGTTCATTCCATGACAAAAGGTTCTCAAGAATCTGCTCTGACTGTCGTCTTCTGTCTCTCCTTGCGTAGATCTTTTCAGTGCTTACCACATGTTTCAGTTTCCCTCATCTCATAACATGACCCAAAAAAATGCTGACTGTCTCTATCTTGTGCTTGTGATAGGTTGTCTTCGAGTCTTGGCTTCTTTCAAAATGTTTGGAATTTTCTTTTTTTTTTTTTTTTTTTTTAGCTGTACATGAAGTTCTAGGGAAAATAGTCGTCCCTATGTAGGATGCAATTTTTCGTTATTTGAAGCCCCAACCTGGCTTTTGCCACGGACCCTGGATAAAGCCGGACCATAAATATAGCCTAACGGCTAAAAGGGGTTTTTGGGACATCTCCGCGGGTGATCCTCATCCGCATGCTGGCACTATGTGTCACTGAGTGTTTATCGCTTGTGTGATGTTCTGGTGGGGTACAACAAGAGAGAGAGAATTCTACTTTTCCTACTGCTGTAAAATTGCCCGACCCTCAGATACAATAACAAAAGGTAAAGATACTGAAGATGTCACAAAAAGTGAATACCTAGGCTTCATAATAAACAGCAATGCAGACTGCGCAAGTCAGAAAGAGGATGGCCATAGCAATGGATAGTTTTAAAAAGCATTAAAAGTCTATTCTTAAACACCAGCAATAAATTAGGGTCAACATTTTGAGAGCTGGAGCATATACGGATATCAGCCGTAAATTATCTCACAGTCATTAGTGATGGAAATAGGGACTTTTGAACTGAAAGATTCTTAGAATACCGTGGACAAGAAGAAGAGAAATACTCACATAATAAAATATCTGAATATTCAAGAACGATTGACTAGTAGCAAACAACATCTTGTCTCGCAACCTGAAATACTGAATGTAACAATGTCAAGTGTCAGGTAGAAAGAATCCTACTAGAAAGTGCGGTGCAAGGGAAAAAAAAAGGATTAACAGGTCATGCCGAAGATGGGCACAGTCTGTGAGTACACACTAGGTAAGAAACTGCACGAAGCGGGAGATCTGGCCAGAGGTTAGGTTTTTCACTAAGACATTCTCGTTTCCTAAAACAATCAATTTCCCATGTCAGTGTCTGTTTGGTAATTCTCTGTCCCCTTTTTCTCAAGAGGTAGGCGCAAGAGGGGCTTATCTCAACCTCCACGTACACTGTCGTCTTTAGTCTGGGTCTTTAGTGGAAAAGAACGTCTTGTCCCTGTCCGAGAACATCCGGTAAGGTGCAGCAGGAGAACATAAAGGCCTGAAAGTCATGACTCAGGTCGGCCCACCCTCTGAAGTTGTCTATCAGGTAATGGGCCGAAACAGTTGCTGATGATTGGTCACTCCTGCTGTACATGCTCCCCTATGGAGCTCTTCTTCTTATTATTGAAATGCCTTTCGACTGCGTCTTCTTTGGTTTGTGCTGTGAACTGCAGATTCAGAAAATGGTGAGTAGCATGTTGCCACAGAACACGCGGTGCCTTATAGAATAAAATACGTATGTAGACATTATTCTGTTGTAATTGATGCTTTCATTGACGATTTATTGCATTTCTAGTACCGGACAATTTGTGTTGGCACCTCTGGCAACCGCCTTGTGCATTTAATGCGCGTGTATGCTATTATGTTTTGCTGAGACTGCTGTTTGCATCCATTTTTCACAAGAGACAGCATGGAGATTCTGTGTGGGCTTCCTTAGCACAAGAACGGAGCAAATAATGGGTGACCCTCTTTTGATGAAACTGGGAGTGCGATTACCTGACTACCTGCTATGTTTCAACATCTCACACGAGCACCAGAACACCTGATCAGTTCGGTGTGCCTGTTTCGTCATCTCACACGTGCACTAGAATATGGGATCAGTTCGGTGCGCTTGTTTCTCCAATATCTGATCAGTTCCGGGCGCTTGTTTCGTCATCTCATGCGAACACCATAATACCTATCACTTCAGTGCACTTGTTTCGTCTCATAAATATGGCAAAAAATCCACGTCTCCATTGTTTGCCTATTCCTTGCACCGGTGCCTCCGTCATTTGGAGTTGACAGGTTCGAATCCTGGTATAGTAACTATAACAATTAATTTATATTTTGTCCAGTACATCTTATAGCGGGAAAAAGTCGTTCATAGTGTCTTAGTTTGAAAAACATTCTTAAGACGAATCTTTGGACACACCAGCGATGCAAACAATGAAAGGTGGAGAACGAGACGCAACTATAAAAGTAATCTGTCTAAAACACCATTTGTCACTGGCATCAATCTGCCTATTAGACTGAAATGGTTGGGACCATAGAAATAATGGCTAATGAAAGAAAGGCAAACACCGTGTATTTGGGAGTTAAAGGACCGTAGACCACACACTCTGTGTAGATATAATCTGCAAACAGACCTAAAACACTTGGAGTCAGCAACTGTAAAGAGGACGACCAATCACAGTAATGCCTGAGGAGGGGGATATCTGCCACAACTAAAATCAATTACTCGGAAGACTGAAGAAGAGGTATGCCGCCGTTTAATTCCCTCAATCCGCGAAAGAGGAGGATCCAATCTTTATATTTGTTACGGAATATGCAAGTGCTGGAGGCAACGAAAGTGGAGATTTTCTAAAAGAGACTATGGTTACTATGATTGATCCAGCATAGTTAAAGAGCGATTTGTCAGTGTCATTCGCAACGCACAAAGTGAATATGATTATGACACTAAATATACCCCAATATCTTTGTCCAAGGGATGCATCACGGAACTGCCAAACAGAATCGTTTCCTTAAGGGAACAAGACATATTAATCAACCCACTCCGAGATTATGGGACGCTACACACCGTGGAGCTACTGAGAAGGTGATCTTAGCAGCTATGGACCTGTCCGGAATGATATGATTGACGACAATTCTTCACGAACCTCTGTTCACACTAGTTAATACCCTTACCAGTTAACACATATCATATTGTTCATTAAACTGTTGTGGTGTTGTTGTTGTTTTTTTTTAACAATTCACTATCTATTTTTCGACCTGTGGTCCGCGGACACTGGCCGGTCCACCTAATTTTCCTGGGGGTCAGCCGACAATATCAAACCAATTATGCTTTGTATAAATAAAACTTGATAACAAAGACCAACCCACACTGGACTTTAAGTTACTTCGCAACCTTTTGACTTCGTTTGTGAAAGAAAAACAGTGTCACCTTCAACCCTGAAGTTGGGAGCTTGAGGTTATAATTGAGACTAGGTTATGTGAGCCATGTGAAATGGCTTAGCATTGCTCGCCAGGAAGTAGCCCTGAAAAGGACTCTGCAGTGTTGATGCGATCAATAGAGACAGACCCAGATACTGTCCCGACCGACGATGAAGCCGTCTACCGGCCAGCCAGTGAGCGACCTGGTTGCTGATATACTTTGTAACCGTTTTGTGGTGCTTCAATATAACTGTAGTATCACTCTACGGTTGAACCGCTTTCTGGTATTTGTAAATGTTGATTTATTGTGGTGTTAATCTTAAATATTGCTATCATGGAAAAGAGAAAAATAAAAAACAAATACATAAAGCATCTCTGCATTTTTTAAATATTTACCACCTGCCATGGTTAACAGTGAGAATAGTCATGATTCCCTCGATAACTTACCATCGAAACATATGAAAACCGTAAACAGAATGGGTGCTTTATTAATACCCTAACCCAAACAGGGGAAATCCACAGGTAAAGGGACAGTCTAATATTTCAGGGGGTAGTAGATGGGCATTCGTGAGATCTAGGATGCACGTAGGTGGGAGGGTGAGTTGGGTTAGGGCCAGTTCTATATTTTTTGGGGTCGTTAAAAGCATCAGAAAGCAGGGAAACCCAGTCTTACCACCCTCTAAAATGTTGGACTGTCCTGTGACACCATCTGGAATAAAATATTAATAAAGAATCACAGATTGGAGTAAGTGGACGTCAGTTTTTGAGGGTGGGTTGGAGAGGTGAGGGGCCATGTACTGAGAAGGAATAGGGTCAATGACGATTACAACTAGTGAGATTGACGGGGAATGAGCAAGGAAGAGGCAAACTGATAAATATCTTTATATCGCTGTCATATGAATGAGCTAGACAAGAGAGCTGAACTGATCTGTGATTCTGGTGATCATGTAAAATGACGAAACATGACGACATGCTCTTATAGGCAGGGCACATGATGCCGAGAATCAACCCATGCAGGAAATATTTCTACAATTGTTACAGATCGTTAAACAACATTGACCTACAAGACCAATTCTATCTAATTTGGCCAGTTTTTCTTTAGCTGTTTAGCCATTTAGCCAGTTCTCTAGCCTGGTAAAATGTCACATTCTCTGTTCACAAACGTAACGGAAATATTTATCGCAAATATTATCATTAAGAGTCAGGGAACCGATGAATATTTCCGTGCAGTCCTCAAATCCGCTGATATCATTAGGTTCGCCAGGTGAAAATATGTTGGAAATTAACTCAGGGTCCAGCTCTTGACCATCGTCCACCCATACCAGCTTCCCCTCAGTTTGAATATCATCCAAACCGACCCACAGCCAGTTGGTCACAAGGGTCTGCAACAGGTAGAATTTGTCCAAAGTTTTCGTGGTATACAGGTAGGAGTTGAAGGACCTGCAAGATGAGATAGCCTCGGCATAGGTGACTTCTGTGGAGAACTGGAGTATGCAAACAGGGGTATCGTTGTAGCTTCGGACTGTAAAACCAAGGTGTGTGTCGCATCGGTAGCCTAGATACAGGGCACCTTCTTCGGTATTCGGCGGCGCCTCTGTCTCATGCAGCCACTTTCCTGGTGTGCAAAGTTGAGTATTGTTGTTATACATCAGACTCCAGCATCCAGAGCGGTACCTGGAATAGCAGAAACAGACCAGAGCAAGTTATTATTCTACGCCTTAGAACAGGACACGATCGACTTCATAGCCACATGAACACACAATTTAGAATCGGTAAATCAGCAATGTGCACATGTGAATACACCTGAGACAACATATCATGTCCTCCAAGGTTAGTTGCGTATCCTTTACAGGACGTTGCAAAACCAACCCCAACAGCTCCTGGCTGTTGTGTGGTTTTTCTAGGCAACGTTACGTCTAGTAGTTTGCCATTGCTTTCTGGACGGTCGGCTTCCTTGATACCACTGTCGAAACCAACGCAAGGCTGTCCTCTAAGACTGTCCCAAATACAATATATCAAGGCAAAACTTTTGGCCAAGAGAAACATCAGTGCAAGTCAAACTTTACAGGTCGCTGAGTGAATTACAAAAGACAGTGAAGTTCATACTAGAGACAACATTGCAGTTATAGATAATTTATTTCAAGCGAACGAAAGAAGAAGAAGAAGAAGAAGAAGATTTGACTCTTCAAAATATGAGCTTTAAAATTTATTTTAAATCAAATGAAAGAAGGTGTCAAGATGATACTTTGTTTTTAAAGAGAGAACTATATAAAACATCATGAACAGATACAAGTCGCATTATTACAACTTCATTATTTTTAAATATTTATAACGGCCTAGAGAGAATTAGGCACCTGTGAGTAACTAGGGGATCTGGCCGGCTCACTACACTCAGAGGAAAGGCAAGAAGGACATATAACCAGATTGTGACGGGTACCATCAGTATAGAACTCTGCGCTGGCCGATGAAGATGAGGACGGAGGATGCATGGAAATGCCCCGAGTGCTGTGATGTCAATTCTTGACTCAAGTCAAGTCGTGATGAAGATATTTTGAAAGAAATTTATCCAAAAAAGATAAGGCGTCACCCGCGTTAGAAGGAGACACAAGTTCATGTTATTTGGATGCGTCTAAAGAAGAGAAAATATGGAGTTGTGACAACGGGAAAGTTTGGAGGCAACGAGAGTCCAAGATAGACCAAGAAAGTAGACACACAGTGGAATAGACAATGTTGAATTTAAAATCGACATCACTGCACTAGGGACACTCCCATAAGCGCTCCGTCCCCATCTTCAGCAGCAGGTGAAGAATTCCAATTCCGATAGCACCAGTAACTGACTGTATAGCCGTCTCGCCTTACCATACAAGTGTAGAGAATCGGCACAGAGAACCACCTGTAGAAAAAATGAATGGTAGCACATCATCAAGAATGCTGTGGACAAACACAACGCCGCACGCAAGACTGATCACATATGACAGATGATAGTGATGGTCAAACTTGATGACCGGCGCCACAGACAGTTTTAGAAATTGCGTATTCTCCTTCTTCTTCTTTCGTTGGCCTGAAATAAGTTGCCTATATCTGCAATTGTGTCTCTCGTATAAATTTCACTCCTTTTTTTTTTTTTTTTTAGTTAATTCAGTAATTGTAGAGTTTATTTTCCACTGTTGTTCTTTCTGGCTTAAAGTGTTGCCCTAATGTGTCATATTCGGTGCAATCTTGAAATGTGTATCCTGCTATTTGGGGCGACTTTCTACATGGCTGATAAATACTTTTCAGTCTGCATAAAATTTGATAGAGACTGCAGACAACGAGGCCTGTTGGTGGTTAAAACAGAAGATCAAGGCTCCATTCTTAAAAATTCTGCTGACAGAGGTGGGGTTTTCTACACTGACGGATCCATTGTCAACACTTACAAAGTTCATGGGCTTTCACTGTTCTGGTTCGAGGAAAAACTGTAAAAGAAGATAGGGGGTCATTCGCTCGACTATAAGTAGTCTGACTAGGGATTTGATGTCGATTAAAAAAAAAAGCAATAATGTGGCTAGGGACAGCAATTTTCCTATGCGTGCTTTCTAAGTGATTCCGTGAGCATATTGAAAAGATATGCACTCGGGACAATCTGTCGATTCTTTAACTAATTAGCTAACCAATCTTAAATTTCGTGTACATGTGGCTGCGTAATTCGATTGTGGCTTGTTCTGAGTAATTTTCCATTCTACCCCCCAAAAAAGCCAGTTGTCTTGCATAAATGGGGATGATAAGGTGGAAAGGGGGAGAGGATGTAACAAGCACGTACCGCGTCTGGCAAGCTACAACACAATGCAGGAGCGACTCCTCCTGCCAGCCCTGATCCACTCTCTGTGGTCCGGATTTAGGATTCGGCACCAGGTGAAACTTCCTGCTGGTAACCTCCGCCCTGGCAACAAACCAGGTGAGAACAGCTGCAACCAGAGGTTTGCCAGCAATCAATTAGTTTGGATAAGTAAGACACAAAGAACAGATTGCACAATGTATTGGTTGGCGTCGTTAGTTTTAACTCGCCGGGTGTATGCCACAGTAAAAGAATTAAATAAGTGATGTTTCCACCACCCACCCCCCTATGCCCCCTCCTCTTCATCCCATTTTTTCCTATACCATCATCATCATATCTTCTTTTTCTTCTTCTTTAGATATCTTTTTCATGGGAACCGGATCCTGGACGTTCAGCTCCTCCCCAGAACAACGCGGATGTGGAAAAAAAAAGGGGGGGGAGGGGTAATTTTAAGAGGCTGCCCCCCTTCCCCCTCAATAAGATTTGTAAAGGCTTCATCTTTTTATATTGAATTCGCATGACAGAATCCACACATCTGCCGCAGTAGGAAGGTCCACAGGCTGAACACCCCCAAACTCGTCATCATAACTATGAATTAGTATAGGCCAAGCATAGTTATATAGTTCGTTTGTTGTGGGGGAGTCCTGATAGGAAAAATCTCTATAAATCCCTATGATATTGACTCTTTTAGGCTTTTAGTGTCGAATTACACGTTAAGACACATTTTCTACGCCTATTCTAAATAAATTGTCTGACCACTGCACTGCATTAGTGAGCGGGATTCGTACGCTAACTGCTGTAGTTAGGGGACGTGTTTGTGTGCGTCACTTCTCTATGGTCCGGTCTGGGAGGCAGTCGCTTTCCTTGTGTCTCGCCAATTGACCGTTAAAAAGACAAGATTCTTTATTCTCTTTTCATTTATCATGGTTGAGTTTTCATAGAGGCTTTTATTTGAATATTTGTGCTCATAGTGTCTGTGTTGTAGGTAAGTAAGGTCAGCAGTTGTATAATGCGAATCTGTTTGCCTACGATTCTTGCTCTGGAAGACGGCGAAGGGAGCTCCGGATCGGAATGCACTTTCGGCTGACATTTCTCGCAGAATATTTCGAAATGGCCTTCTAAACCTCTTCGGATTAATCAATCCACATATCTAGAGTGGGTTTGTGGTATTGATAACTTTGTATTATTAGTTATTTGCTGTTATTCGGTATCAGAACTTGGTAAGTCGCTGAACCGTTGTGAATGACAAGAAGCTTCTGGGCAGGCATGACATCATATCCGCTGTTGCTAGGTGACTTCGTAACCACAACAAGCTTCGACTGTCGTATTGTTTTCAGAACATATTTCAGTCGGTCTTGGTTTTGACTTCATCGCCTATCCCTTATTTTCCCTATTAGTGGAAAGGGTATGTTAGAAGGGAGGGTATATAATGGAGATCTGTCTAACCTTCGCTACAGAACTGAATCCAGGAACTATTCGAGTTAATGATCTAGTGCTCACTCTAGGAAACTAAATGGATTCTAAGATAGAGGTAACCAACCTTCTTGGTTTGGAATAACCTCAAGTTTATCTGAGCATTGGGAGGAAGTAAGGACCTTGATTAAATGGGTGCGTTGGATACAGTTCGCTCATGGTTGTTGCTTTGCGTTTTTCAGGATTTCTGAAGATCCAACAAGTGTCCGTGTCTGGTAGTGTGGTTCCAACTGCCACCACCCAATAAGCAATTTACGTGTGGTGAATTGCTGTGCTGAATGTGTGGACGATACTTGAATCGACGTCTTTCGATATCGAGTTGATTGTCCTTGATCAACGCCAGAAGCTGATTCGTTCGTGTGAAGTCGTGTTGTGAAACACGGCAGTGTGAAACTCTATTTCGGCATCTTGAGAAGCTGCTTCATTCCTGTAAAGTCGTGCTGTGAAGTACAGCAGTGAGAAATTCCTTTCCGGCATCCTGAGAAGCTGCTTCGTTCCTGTGAAGTCGTGCAGTAAAGTACGGTGGTGTGTAACTCCATTCTGGCACCCTGAGGAGCTACGAGATCTAATCAGATAAGTTGAAGTGACTGACATAAGATGGCTCGACTCCAAATGGGCCTTCGTCATCAATTCTTCTCCTCCGCCATGATGATCCAGAAAGTCTATATGTCTAAGTAGAAAAACTCTTTCTCTTGTGTTAGATTTTCAAAGTTTTGATCGTTCCTTTTTAATTCTTCACGATGCTTTTCATCAACTTGGTTATAGTGAATTAATTACAACAGTATTATAGTTCATCAGTCTTCTGGTTAGTAGAAAAGTTTCGTTTTATTGAAATTCATTGTCTTATTCAGAGAGGCAGTGTTGTCTTGTCAAATTCGCTGTTGATTATTTGTTCGACTGGAATTACATTGTTCCAGTCTGGGGGCAAACAGTGGTGGGGACGTCTGGCCGAGAGGTACCCAAGTGTTCATAATAACCCTGTGGAGTCAGAGCTCGTGTCACCTCATCCCTGAGACAGGTTGAATGGAAAGTTTGAACCGAGGGTTAGGCCTCTAGACGAACGAGAGCCACCATTCAAAACACTCCTGTCTCAGAGCACCTGAGGGATTTGTGAAAATATTCCGTTAGTAAAGGTGCGCGACAAAACTGCCATACGACAGTCACTATCTTAAAATGGGGGCTCGTCCGGGATCATTGTTTATTGTAATTGTAATTTGTCAACAGTGGATTAGAGTGTTTAGTAGTTGTGCTGGACACTTGACCAGCAGGTTGTTATATTGATAAGCTGTCTGGTAGATTTGGTGACTACTTTGAATACGTTCCTTATACTCTTCCTAGGAAGAAATAAGAGGTAGCTTCAGT